ACATCACATTTAGTTCCATCCATCACAGTAAATGCTTAGTTAACTTATCATGTTTTAATTGTTGGTAAAATAAATTCTTACTTTTATAAACCTGACTGTTTTCTGAATCAAAGCGAAGTGTGTACAATCCCCTAATTAATAAAGAATCCTAGAATCTTCTGATAAACACAGTAAGACCAAGCAGGGTTGATATTCTATATTTAGATAGAGTATCACACCTTATTGGTCATAAGTAGAGGAATATATATATTGAGCTCTTAAAGCACTCAATTTACCAAACCCTACACCCTGTCATTGGAATGTTGCTTTTGAAATTGTATTCTTTGGAGTAGTAAATGTTTTCCAACCACCAATAGTCCAGTGTTAATGAGCTTGTGTGATTTGTAGCCTCAGTTTCCCATTTTTAGCTGAGAAGAGTGACACCCAGCGGAATAATTTGCTACTGGAGTCCATCTGCTTCATTGTTCAAAATGCAGTGGTTCAGACTAGAGAATGTATTCTGCAGTGGTTACTTCTGTTGCTTTTCTATTATTGTCAGACTATTCTTCTCTGATCTCTGACCTCAACAAGACATTTTTTGTCTACATGGTACTAACAACCATGCAAATACAGACTCACCCAAATCCCCTTTTTTCCATTCTAAATGTCTAAAAGCACTGGATTGCTGCCACGTGATTGGCTATTTTTGTCAAAAAGTATGTACTGGCATGCCTTATGTCATGTAAATAACTAATTTAGATAAACACATCAAAATGAAGGCTTTAAGTTACAAATATTGATGTAAATGCAGCTGGACACGTTACATTTTACACAATAAAACCTTTTCAACTATCAATTTTGTTTGAGGCACGATTGGTTTTCTCTTTTTCTAACTTTTCTGTCGTTTGGTTTGCAGTTTTCAAGCTTCTCCTGTTTATGCCTGAGTTTTCACATTCCCCTGAGACAAGAAGCATTGTCAACACAGGGACAGGATTTCAGCTGTGTGCCTGGATGAGTGTAGTGGTGCCTGCATGGAATGGGTCACTAAGCGTATAGTACAACATGACAGCCAAGCAGGCATATGTCGGTGCCAAAGTGTAGTGTCTGCAACTAAGACTCATTTACTGCAGAAAGTGATTGACAGCTGGGCCAAAGGGCCACTGGCTGCATCCTGATTTCTCTTTTTTTTCCACCAGAGGTGTCCTCTGGGACTTTGGAATCCACGCTACAGTATATCAACAGAACAGCTTATGGCGCTAATGAGGATGGTTCTCATGCTGCTCTGAGTTTAACAAACTATCATTTGCAGTGGGGTGTAATTATCCTCACTAGATTTATTTATTTATTTATTTTTGTTATTTTGCCCCACGTGGAATCAGAAGTGACAGTTTGTGGGTAGTTTTTTGCTCACCAGAGATAGCTGTTGAAAAGGGAAAAAGAAAACTTTTTTTATGTAGCCATGATTGCTGTCATACACTGCACTTTATTATTTAAATTGGGCCTGAAGCAAGACGTTTCACAAAGACAACATGTCACAAGCTATTAATGCAAAGAGGTTACATCTCATTGCAGGCTCCAAATTACAATCTCTATTTTTAAACGTAAACCCAGTGATGGCTTAAGGTGCAGTCAGTCCTGCAGCCATTTAAAGCAGCAGCTTTTGAACTGATATTTGTTTAACAGTTGTGACAGAATTAGGAAGCTTTGAAGTGTTTAGCTTTTATTTCCGCAGCGATACATCCACTGAAAGTGCATTCTTATGGCTTTTGTTTGACAGCATTTGATTCTTGGTTTCTTTGAACGCTGAAGATGAAGCATAGATACGGTGGATGTAGAAAATGTTGACAAGAGAATGGGAAATGGAATTTTAATGAACTTGAGAGTGGTTAGATGTAAGGTAAAGAAAGGAACTTTGTCATTTTTTATCCAATATTTTTCACATAGAAGGCTTGGCTTTAGGATATTTTCCGGGATTATGAAGCTGGCATATTTCCAGCTGCAACATTGGCTCTCTAATAAAGACTCGTGAAGGTCTCTTTTTTCCAATCAGACACTGCATCTGTGCAGGAACATGGCTCTGAATGTCGTTGCTGTCCGTGAGATATTTTGAAATGTTTTTGCTCCAAAACGAGACCTTGCACCAGTCCTCTTGCCATTTCATAAGGCTTGATAATAAAGGCATGTTTGATCCGGTAAATCTCCCAGGTCTCTGGTACTCTGTCTTCAGAATGGCAAGCACTGTGATATGACTTATTTTCGTGGTCATGGCTGATGCCTTTGCTGCTGCTAAGCACAAGCACATTTTCTGTTTTCTTCACTCAAGGTTTAGAAATAACATTGTTGTCTCAATAATTTTTATCCTATTAAAAAATAATCAGATCATTGAGAAATTCACCATACATTCACTCTCTCTTCACTGCAGGTTTTATTTTCCAAATGTTGTATTAAATCCCACCGAGCAGCCTCTCATACCGCAGGGATGATACTGACATATTGTAAGATATTAAAACGTCGACTTAGTGTGTGGCTCAGCTCATAAATGTTTCCACTGACCACAAGCCGCTTACGTTTACCAAAGCAGAGATTACATGCAAGACTCTTTACTTGTGCTTGTCACATGAACATCCAACCTTATTCTTAACCATAACATATTTTTATGAGCCTCAGTGGTAGTGGCAGACATGTTATAGGTGTTGACATTGTATTGCTCGGTTTTCTACTTATTCTAATAGGGTAGGAATCTAAATGTCTCAATGGAAATTCTTTAAATTTGACTCTGATAGTAGGTTTTTGTCAAAGGTAAACATACTGAAGAAAATGTCTAAGACCAACAAGTATATGACTTAGGACAGCATTATTTTGGAAGACATATGGAAATCCTTGCCAAAAAATAAGAATCTACCCAGTTGTTTTAATCAGTTCAATTCAGACATTCCTAACATCTTCTCAGGCTGCACAGTGGAACAGTGGTTAGTGCTGTTGCCTTACAACAAGAAGGTCCTGGGTTTGAATCCCAGCCTGCGTCTCTCTGCAAGAAGTTTGCATGTTCTCCCTATGTATGTGTGGGTCCACTTCAGCATCCTCCCTCACTCCAAAAACATGCCTGTCAAGTTGATTCGGCTCTCTACATTGTGTGTGTGTGTGTGTGTGTGTGTGTGTGTGTGTGTGTGTGTGTGTGTGTGTGTGTGTGTGTGTGTGTGTGTGTGTGTATGGTTGTATATCCAGTGTGCCCCTGTGTTTCCCTGCGATGGACTGGCAACCTGTCCAGGGAGTACCCCGCCTGTTTGCCTGTTGACTGCTGGTGATAGGCACCAGCCCCCCCCAGCGACCCTGCATGGACAAGTGGGTTCAGATAGTGGATGCATGGATGAATAATATCTTCTCAAAGATGTGTTATCTTTCTTTCCATTATTAAGTCCTACCTAATTTCCCTTTAGTAAGTGGCTGATTAGCCTGCATTTATGTAGATTGCGCCCAGATTATCTTCATTTATCCTAATGATGACTTCACACTCCAACAAATCGCAAAACATCACATACAAGCTAGGGATTATAACAACACAACAGCAGATGAGTTTGATGCTATCACCAAAACTGATGAGTGGCCACTACAAAGTCTGAACTGCAACCTAATGGACTATTGTGCATGGAAGGCCCTAAAAAAAGGTCTATTGTGGTCAAACAGGAAAGTTCACACAGGAGAAACGGATGTATAAGAAAATCAAGGTGAACTGGTAAAACAATTCTCCCAGTGATAAGTTGAACTGGGTCATAGAGTAAACATTAATAATCTGTTGGGAAAATGAAACTTAAATGATTGAATCACAGAGCAGGATGACATGGGTGTGTTTGGAGGACTTGAGCAGAAGCTGAGCACAGGTATTCTGAACCACCTGTAAATGGTTCAGGGAGGTTTTGCTAAGACAAATGGAAAGCAGTAGTCCCAGCATGAAGAGACAAAGGTGTGGATAACAATCTCAGGTTCAGAATGAGACTCAGCTTAGCAATGTTCCTGAGATGGAAGAAGGAAGAGCGAACAAGCAAACTGACATGAGAATCCAGAGTGAGAGCTGGGTCAAAGGTCACACCTAGATTCCTGACAGAGGGTTTAGTGAGAGAAGCAAGCTGACCAGAATAATCTCCGACTTTGGGAACTGGCTTGTCTTGTGTACAGATGAGGAGTCTTCTCAGTCTAGGCAGATGTGCAACATCTGCAGCTTAGACATCCCAAAGGAATTGAAGGAGATGCACAGTTGGATCTGAATATGTAGATGGCGGTAGACTTCTTTAAATCAGCTCAGGTTTCATGAGGGAAAATGCAGATAGAGGAAAGAAACCTACAACAGGACTGTAGTTTAGACTTAACTATAATTTATAATTACGAAGGTCATCTTCCAGTTGGAGGTTTGGGGTTTTATTGCCAATTCCTGCAGAATGTCAGTGTCCTTGACCAAGCCCTGGTACCCCCACTCCTAAGTTTATTTGTGTATCAGTGAGGATATAAATACTAGAGTGTAGAGGCGAAAACATAAAATGGAAAGCATTGCACATGTGAAAAGGCTGAATGACAAGCACTATACAAGTCTTTGCAGAAAGACTATATCAGATGATCTTACTAGTTTCTGAAGTCTGTGTTGCTTTCAAAGCTTCACTTTAGTCCAATGCTCATCGGAAAGGTTTTGAAAGCTGAACTCTTAGCCCTGCACAGGTTTGCATTTTGCTACTGCTATCTTCTTGGATTAAAGAGCTCGTACAAACGCCCTCAGAGGGGCAATCATATTACTAAAGAGGAGAAAAATGCTGAGCGATTTGTGAAGCAATCTACTTGACAAAATTATCTCTTGACTCCTAAATTAGAAAAGGCTGACATACGGGAGATAGCAGTGACAGCTCAGTCTAAAAGTGACTTTCTGACTCCCGCAAAATAACAGCTGAACGGCAATGAAAATTGTAATTAATCATCTGAATGAGCCAACTTTACCGTTATGGTAACAGCTCCCGCTGTCTGTTTTTGTCTCCTAGTGTTACGGGATGACTTCCGACAGAACCCACAGGATGTGGTGGTGGCAGTCGGAGAGACTGCCAACTTCGAGTGTCAGCCTCCACGTGGGCATCCTGAACCCACCACCTTCTGGAGGAAAGATAAAACTCGTCTTGACCTCAAGGATGACAGGATCACGGTGGGTTAATCCGCACGAGGGATGTCAGCTTTTTTTTTTTCACTCTGAATCACATCTCCAACTTTCCATTTAACTCAATCTGCCAGTGTGTAACAGACACTTGGTTGGGGTTGTTGTATTTGTGATTTCTTCTTCAGGTACGTGGCGGAAAACTCACCATCTCGAATACAAAAAAGGGTGATTCAGGGATTTATGTGTGTGTGGCTTCCAACATGGTCGGAGAGAGAGAAAGCGATAAAGCTCAGCTCTCAGTATTCGGTAAGGGTTTTTTTCATACATTCCATACCTGCTTCAAAATCTGGTACTTTTGATTTTAAGCCACAAATATTTACAGTTTCACATACTTGTACTTTGTGCACATTTAGAAAGACCAACATTTGTGCAGCGTCCTGTGAACCAGGTGGCTCTAGTTGATGAGAGTGTTGAGTTCAGGTGTCAGGTTCAGGGTGACCCACCACCTGCGCTTCGTTGGAAAAAGGAGGATGCAGATATTCCTCGTGGCAGGTGAATACTGGGAATACATGTTTGACGGCTTTGTTGATGCATTCTGGTTTGTTTGTGTGCCTTTGCAGATAAAACACACAAACACACATATATACAGTATATATAAGTATACATGTATGTTTATATATATATATATATATATATATATATATATATATATATATATATATATATATATATATATATATACATCCATCCATCCATCCATTTTCCGAACCCGCTTGTCCACGAAGGGTTGCGGGGGGACTATCTCCAGGGCAACACAGAGACACACAGGACAAACAATCACACACACACACTCATACCTACAGACAATTTGGACAGACCGATCAACCTAACAGTCATGTTTTTGGACTGTGGGAGGAAGCCGGAGTACCCGGAGAGAACCCACGCATGCACAGGGAGAACATGCAAACTCCACGCAGAAAGATCCCGGGCTGGGAAGCGAACCCAGGACCTTCTCGCTGCAAGGCAACAGCTCTAACCACTGCGCCACTGTGCAGCATTTATATATACATATATAAACATATATACACACGCTGGAGAAGACCAGTCTGCATATGCCTGGAATGAGCTGTGCATGAGTATACTTGTATAATGAAAACCTACATGTTACACCCACCCCCCACATCATGATGCAACCCAATGCAAGAGTCCAATTAAGTGACAGAAGAAAATACCTCTGAATTCAATTAAAGTCCTGGCATCTACTCTGGACATTATTAGATTCAGGTCTTCAGTGAACATATTCCATTGGATTGCTTTAGATTAAATGCACTGATCATCAATAACATTATGACCTCACACCTTTAGTAGCTGTAAGCCTTTTTGACTATGAGAACTGGATAAGGGCTGGACTGGGCTGTATTGGCCTTCCATAAGAGGTCCCTTTCACTGGGGGAGGTGTGGATATTAGATCAAGCACTGGCCATGGTCAAAAGCATTACTTCCACCATAGAAGTATTGGGAAATTTCTTGGAGGAGGGAAGGTGACAGGAAAATCACGATGGCTCAGTCCTGCAAGCTATTGTGTCTCCATACAAAATCGACCCTATCAGGACTTTGCTAGGAAGTCAGCAAATCGTAACGGTTTCAGAAGTGAGTGATGCCACTTAGCACTAAAAGGCAACCATGGACATTGATAACATTAAAAGTTTTGTTCTATCAATATGCCATTAAGAGGACGGGGATGGCGGCTGCATGATGTAAAAAGTAGCATTCGATGACTAGAACTATTGTTTTACGGCACTCTGTAGGAGACCATAAAACGTCTGAAATTGCGAGCGTTATGGATGAATTTCAGCAACATTTTCTGGCTTTGGGTGTTTAGAAACAGCATATTTGAATCAGCTTAAATGCTGCTTATTTTATTTTTCTTCTATTATGCTTCACCAGCAACAACCTCCAATTTTACGAATACCAACTGTTTCGCGACCTCTACTTATATCATTTCCTACTGAGTTACAACCAATCAGCATGAGCTAACCACAAGTCCTGATTGGTTGTTAGTTTTAGGTAGATGGAAAAATGTTGTTTATTAGACCAGGCACCTTCTGGTTCTAATTGGGATGTGTGTGCCTATTGGACACTCACCAGCCTGTAAGACCATGCTACCAATAAATAAAAACTACAAACGTGTGCATTTTGACACTGTTACAACAGATGTAGCACTAATATAAGTAGCTGAAACTAAACAAGATGTTGCATGCCAAAGTTGAAATACAACATGTTCTTGTTTCAGTGTAAAGGTTTCTGATCACTTATAATACCTGGTCATGTGTCTGCTTGAGGTCTGATTCCTGATGGCAAATTCTGGCCTAGATTTAGCAAATATGTTGTCATCTAAAGTTGCTAAAATTCTAATTTTAACCCAGATTTGTTTCCATGCTACCAACACATTAACTTAAAGTTTCCACAAGAAGTAAAAAAAAAAAGTTCTACTGTTAGATGATCACTGTTCACTTCTCTTGTCAGTGGTCATAATGTTCTGTCTGATTGGTGTATAGTAACTCCCCACCTCATTGTCTGGCACCCAGCCTACCTTTTGTAGTGCCCTATACTTCAGTACCCCCATGACCCTAGAAATATGTCCTACTTTTAGACCTACCTTGCCTCACTTCCCTCCTTTCGTCTCTTTCATTCTTTTCCAAAACCCACCGGCCTCTTGGGATGCCTGTATCTGGGTCAGAGATGTGCTGTGAATGAAGCCCTCACCAGACTCTGGACAGAGCCCCCTTCCCATCGATATTCTGCCCCCACCCTCTGGAGCATCTCTTTTGAATGTGACTTTTTCTCACCCCTCGTGCCATTTCTCTGCCTCACTTGTCTTCCATCTTTGAATCAGTATGGCTGGCTAGACAATTTCACAAGATCTTTCATGCCAAAGGGACCCTGGAGAGGGAGACCCAACTACTAGCTTCTCAAATCTCTCCCTCTGTAGACCCTCTGAGGCGCTTATCTAAACTCTGCTAGCTGAGATGCTTCTCTCGCTCTAACTGCCGTGCTGTTGCCTTACAACTGCATGGAACATCTCTATGAATTAGTCATGTCTTTCTGCTTGGCTCATTCATCAAATGGAGTTTGTCAGACTGTGCCACTCCCTGACTCAAGACTGTTCATCTATCTCTCCCTCAAACTCCCTCTTTTTTTCTTGTTCTTCTCCTCCACACACACACACACACACACACACACGCACACACACACACACACACACACACACACACACACACACACACACACACACACACACACACACAAACACACACACACAGCTTCCCCTACAGTGTGGGCTGTGCATCTTTATGAATATTGAAAAAGTGGAACAATCAGGACTTTAGCTGAAAGCACCTTTCATATTTCCATGCCTTCATCTCAGTTTAATTGCTCCTTTTCAAACCACTGCAGCGAATGTCTCTGAATGTCTGCTGTCATTTTATCAAAAATGGTGGGTGCTTCTTTCAAGCTTCTATCTGAAACATCAAAATTTACTCACAAGTCATGTGATTTCTGTGTTTTGTGTGCTTAATTTGCATCAATAAGCATATTACTAAGCATTAAATGATACTTGCATTTTTTTAAATCAGCCCACATATCTATTGGCAGGTATGACATCAGATATGATAGAGAGGACTTCTTGCTAAGGATAAAGAAAGCCTCGGTCAGTGATCAGGGAACCTTTTTGTGCGTGGCAGAAAACCGAGTGGGCAAAGCCGAAGCCTCTGCCTACCTGACTATCAGAGGTAGGTAACTGTGTGTAGTCTCATGTGTGGTGAAGCTCATAACCTGTTCCTGATATATTTATCTTTTTTTTTGTTACTCCCAAAGCGGGCCACAAGACAATCAGCCTTTATTGTCTACTGTATAAATGTTATTGTCCCCTGTTGAAATACTGGCTTCATTCGTTCTGTCATATAGAAGGCTGATGTAGCTGATTGCTTCCAAATTCCCACCAAGACTCCAGATATGAGCAATTTAGCTAGCTTTAAGTAAACATCAGGGCTTGTGCTAAGGTTGGGCTCAATCTCTTTTCAACCCACTGACTCATTTACACATTATTAATGTAAAGTTCCTATTACAATAAAAATGGTGATATGTGGAATTAAAATGTAGATATTGTGTTATCTGTATGTAAGCAACATATGGATGGTTTTAATTAATGTTTCAGAAATGTTTTTTTTCTAACGTGTGGAACTGATTAATTCACCAATTCAAAATGACCACCATACAACTGACATGAGTAAACATAAAAATAGCTATAACTCACAATGAAGTAGATTTGTTGAACATTACCTAAAGTGCCCTTTGTGCTAAAATGGTGTTTTATATTTACTATTAAATGTTGGTGTCTACTATGATAAGTCATCCTATACATGTAAATAAATATTCTGGCCGTGACCCATAGACAGAGCGTGGGGTGGAATCTAAGCTAGTCTTTCAAACTGTCTTTACATGCAGTTGGCCAGTGCTAGTACCAATCAGATTTGACATATGAAAAACAACAGTCCAACATACACTGTTGAAGAAGTAGAATATGAAGAAGTACCAGCTCCACTATCCTGCTCTGGCGTAGCTCTGCTGTAATGGCGCTAAGCCCACCCACTGTCTCTGTACAAACAAACAGTTGTGATTGGCCCAGCCTAAACGTAGACAAGCCAATGGTAGACCTGCTGATGCTACAATGTAGTGAGGCTAGACCAGCCTGCAGATCTTATGTTACTGCTACGTTTTACTTCCTTTAAGCTAATACCTCAACATCCACTATACAAATTGTATTAAAACTTTAAGCTAACAGATCATGAGTGATCTTGCTTTTTCATTTTAGATTTCCTGTAACATTTTCACAAGTTAATCCAAATATGTGATTTTTCAACATATAAGGACTTTAGTTTAAAACGCTAGCATGTAAGGCTGTGGGTGATTTGGACTCCTTCATTGAAAGCAAGACCTTTAATTAACCATATCAAACATAACGAAGCTAACTTACAAGTGTCAAGTTGCAGACCAGTTAAGTTGAAAAGTTTTGAGCAAACGTGTATTGCATCATCCTACATGGTATACATCACAGATCGCATGCACTGACATTTCATGCTGTTTTATACTAGTTATGTTTTTATGAGCTGATGTTGATTTGCTTTTTAAGTATTTAGAAACCATTCTTGCTTATGAATTATTTATCTGTTTGACTGACAAACAGATCTACCAACCATGTAATGTGGTATTTTTTTTCAGAATAAGTAACATTTTTTAAATTCCCATCCAATAATGAGATGAGGATTTAGGGGCCCATGCCTTCACCCTCTTTGGTGACTGAGCATTACCCTCCTTGTCCCTGAACTTCATGGATGGAAACCCAACTCCATTTCATTCATTTCTGATTTCCATTTCTTTTTTTTTCTTCCGTCCTTCTGTTCTGCTCCTCTGCTTTCCTTTTCTCTGTGTGTTGTGTGTCAATGTCACCCTCCACCATTGTTGTCACAGCTCGCCCTGTTGGTAAGTAAGAGGTGATCCCATTGTGCATGCCTTCTTCTTTTACTTTTTTCCTATCACACACATGTTAAGTATGCATGCGCTGTTGTGGCATTCCACCAGCACAGCCACCTAACTTAGGACATGCACATCCAGATTGTTTCTACCAATAGCTGACAAACCATAGGTTTAAACTCCAATCCTCTCATGGGGTTCTTCTTATGATTGATGTGTCAGTATAATTTATTCTGATTTGACAACAGTTGGATTAAATGGCAAGAAGAAATGGAAAGTAATACATCAAAAAGAAAACACCCAGAGCATGAATCCCCTAAACTTGCTGCTTGACATTCAGAACAAGCATTTGTATCTAGTTTAACAGAAACTCTCAGAATCCTCTTCAACTGTGTTACGACCATCTAATGATTTGTTTCCTCTTTGTAACTCAGAGGCACCTCAGTTTGTGGTGCAACCTCGGGACCAGATTGTGGCTCAAGGACGAACAGCAACCTTTCCCTGTGAGACAAAAGGCAAACCTCAGCCCACGGTATTCTGGCAACGAGAGGGTAGCAAGGTGAGGGTACCTGTTTTGACAAAACCATGCTTGTGCACATCGGTTGAGATAAACAGTTTCTCCTATTGGTCCAGTCTTAATTTTGTTGAATGAGTTTCTGCACAGAGCTAGACTAGAACTGAGTGTTCAAAGAAATGCAGAAAAAGATCAAACTAGTTCACATCAGAGTGTGGTTCTGTTCCACATAAAGTGGTAATTTATTATCAATCTGCACCCATCTGACAAGCCAATTCACTTAGTAAGAGACAATGTCATGTGCTGCATTAGCATCATTAGACTTAATGAAAGCAGGCTAATGTCCTTTCCTGTCCGTCAGAGTGTCTGCCTGGGGTGCAAGAGAGTGCCGTGCTGATGCCTAAATTTTTATGACTTTAAGTGCAGGTTATCACAGCAGATTTAACTTACTGGTGGTAAAGAGCCATGCAGGCTGAGCAGCACAGAGACACCGGCCCACATTTCAGAATGAAATGCACATAACTGTGAAGTGAAGAAATAACTACTAAAATCATGCCTTTCACAATCTCACAAGAATTCCATTTGTCAGTGACAACATTTTAAAAATTTAGACAATCTGAAATGTAGCTGTTCATTCCCACATATTTATGTAAGCAAACATTAGAGAGGTGAATGAGAATGGTTTGTTTAGCCTTTTTCAAAAAACCACTTTGTCACAAAGGGGAGGCAGCATCAGGGTGTGGGGGTGGTCCACTCTCTCGATGCGCTGTCACAGACATCCTTTTAGCCTAGATGTACCTTGTTTTTTATCCCAACTGAAGCCATTCTATTTTTTTTTTGCAAGCCGCAAAGGTGGCCGTCCTTCACAGTCTCCATGAACCCTCTTACAATCTGTACTTCAGCTCTAAAGACCCAAAACTCTATCTCTGCATTGCTCCAGTTTGCCACCTCAGCTGATACTGTTTAAAAATAAATAATGGACTCCCCTTGTTTACTTGAATTTTGAATATTTTTGCCAGCTGGGGATTGGCAGACATTCCACACATCATCATGAGATCGCCCTCTGTTGCTCAAAGGTGTGATCTTCATTCAAACGTCCGGCGTTGCAGTAATACTGCTAATAATCCTTGGCAGCATGAATAGCGTAACATTCTCGCCTTGCCATGCCACCACAGTGCTTTCAAAAGACACACTCTGGCAGCAGTATTACCCTGATGTGCCGCCATGGTGTATTTTTTAAAACCAGCTTTTGTTAGCTTGACAGATTCCCTGAGGGAAGTGCTCACTAATTTTAGCACAAAAGATCTAGATTAAAACAACTTAAGAGCATACAGATGAAATGAACAGCTTTTTTTCAAAAGACGTCTATGATTCTCACAATTAAAATGAAAGCAAATAAAAATTATTAAATGAAATAAGAACAAAAGAGTAAGATGATAGACTAAGCTGGTCCAGGAACACAATGTGGAGGTTGAAGTTAAAACAACATGACTGTCTCCCCCTGGTGGCTGGCTGCAGAACGGGTTTTAAGCTCCATACAAAGGTGCAAACCCTTGTTGTTTACCTTTCTCTTGTATTTTCAAATATTCATTTTTTTTTTACGTTTTTAGTTGTAATTATTTAAAAGTTACAAATATAAAGATTCTGAGCAGGGTAGTGTGTGTGTGACGTTCAGCCCAACAGACTGGATGCTCAAACCCTGGTTCAAAAGTACAACATAGCAGCACATTTCAATGGCATTACTTAAAAAAGGGCAAGGCACATGGCCTTGAATACTTAAATTCTCGAATTTGGAAGTACTTAACAACTGAATATTTATTTAAAAATTATAATAATAAATGAAACATAATAAAGTACAAGAATAAAACTAGCATATATCTCCTGTCTTACGTTTCTCCTCAATGTAACTTCCTGTAGGATCTCCTGTTTCCCAACCAGCCAGCACAGGGTGATGATCGAGTGTCAGTGTCTGTGAATGGGGAGCTGACCATTTTATCTGCACAACGCTCAGACGCTGGCTATTACATCTGCCAGGCCCTGACTGTGGCAGGAAGCATCATGGCCAAGGCCCAGCTGGAGGTAGCAGACGGTGAGGCAACATGCAAAAATAACAAATACACACCATTCTCATTTATAGGGATACAAAAGGTCTACTCAGGGAATATAATGAGACAAATCCTGCTTTCTGTGAAGTAAAATCAAGAGAGTATCATTTTTAGGTTAAAATATTCTAGTAATCTCAATTTAACTGTGGATTTTTCATCAATGCTGTATGCATTTCATGGGATTTTTTTCATGATGCCTCCACCACAACAGACAGTAAATGGCAGTAGCTGCCCACACTTACAGTTTTCCAACTGAGATCTGAACATTCTAAAAGCCCGTCACCCACAGTCATTTTTTAGTTTTACCACCCTGTGACAGGATATGTAAAAGACAGGAGCTGTCTAAAATAAAACTGTCTACTTTATGGAGATACATTTTGCACTGTTCTTTTTTAAAGAAAAGCTTAAATGTCTGCATTAAGTGCTCAGTGGATACTGTTTATGTCCCTCTTTCCATTTGTTTCTTGGCTTTTTCTCCCGCACATTATTAAATTAACATCTGTTGACGTGTTTTTAGGAGAGGAAATGACTCCTGTTCTGTCACTTGAAGGAGATCGATCAATAACAAAATGTTAGGTGGAGAATGAATGGAGAAGGGAGAAATGCCTCTGACAGATGGGTGTAAACAAAGATGGATGGAGAGTTGGCTTGATGCCCAGAGGGAGTTTTTGAAGCTTGTACAGAGTATTTTCTAGTATTATTTGAGATTGCATGATTGGCACATATAGTGGCGCACAAGAGAGGGTTTTCCCAGTGGATGAAAAGTTTTCAGAGTTTTTGGAAATGATTCACTTTCTAGAGTGTGGTCTATGTGTGGTAGGGTAGGGTGGGCTAGGTTACGGTAGGTTATTCAAAATGCATTGAAATCTGCTTAGGAAAACCACCTGACTGAAAACTGTTGTAATTTTTTTACTGTCATTTGAAGACCCTGTGCTCAGGGTTGTCTATTCTGTACATTTTATGAAGCACCCTCTATTTTACAGCCAGCTCTAGAGGCTCCGGAGCAGTGCCTAGAACAGAGCCAGCCATCTTTATCAGCTTGTTCAACTTAGCTTGCAATCACTGGCACTGATGCTGTGATACCAACAGACAACTTAAGACTCACAGAAGCTATGTAACACTTACTTTAAGACTTTGACAATGTCTGATGTTGGGACAACCGGTCTATAGTTGTAAGAAACTGATCCATGAGGTTTCTTGTGCACTGGAATGTGGCAGGACATCCTCCACAAGACTGGAACATTCTAGCGGGTCAGGTTGGAGACGTGCTGTGTTATTGCACATGGATGATACACTCAGACATCAAGGACTCTGGGATTGACATCATCTGAACTTGCAATCTTGTTCTGGATTAGTGTCTCGAACCGCCTCTACATTTGAGACAGACGAGAAAGAAGGGAGGTGAAAAGAGCACCAGAATATCCAAAGGAAACATTTGGGGATTCTTGTTGAAGGTGGAAGACAAAACTGTTGAAATCTGTAGTCTGACTAGAATTTTATGGTTCAAGTAAAAGTGGGTGGTTCTGTATGCAGTGTTGAGAAAGTTCCGTTCATACATTTTAAAATGAACTAGTTCAGTTCATAGTTTTAATTAAATAGTTTTGCACATATTCACAGCTCCAAAATGAACTACTTCTTGGTTCTTTATGATTATTTTTTTTAGTACGCTGCAGCGAGCTATTTTTCTCAGAATACTGGCATTTTCCAATTGTTGCCACCCATTTTGTCCACTCTCGTACCCAGCTGCAGCTTTTACCCCTACAGCCGGACTGAATTTGTAACCACAGCTAATCAGGCCCGGTTAGGATTTTAGCTTTAGATAACATCGGATTTAGAGCTTTTCTCTATTCCATTACTTTTCTCAATGGCATGAGGAAAAACTTGCGGTTTCAATGGCTTTTCAATCAGTCTGAGGGAGGAACCAAGCTGATGTAGGAAAAAAAATATGTGCCTCAAAGTGCAAAACATTAAAACATTAATTATTTTTTAAAAAGAAACTTAATAGAATTTAGATCATGAAGTAGAACAAACTTAAATTACTATGTTTAAAAAACTAAATAAATACATGGCTGGTGTGACTCTATGACTAGTGTTTCCAGATTTGATGCTTCCCCCATATTAATGGTATGTTCCATTTGTGGTCAATACTTGGAAATTCCACTAGAACACACCCCAAAGTCAAAGAAAGTTTTTTTTTTCTAACTCTACATTAAGGTTTAAGATAGCAGTTCTTCAAAACAACAACAGCTGCCTTGGTGGGAGTGGGTTTATTTTACAAAACAAACTTGTACGAGTACATCCAAAACCAAGTATTTGTTTTTCTTCAGAATTAAATGGAACACACCATGATGTGTGTTCCCTGAAAACAGTCCATGTTGCATGTATGTGCAGAATCATGGGCACCTCCAGAAATTTTTTATAAGGGTGACCAGACGGGCCCAAAACATTTTTGGGGTAGCACACCAAATTGGTCCTTGTGGTAACTCTGGGAGAGTTTAGCCTGTGATGATGTATTGTATTGCTCCTTTATTCGTTTTGATTTTAAAAACAGCATGTATCCAAAACATGTAACTGACATTTTACAAACACAAACTTTTCAGAAAAATACATTTCAAATTTTATTTTAATTTATTTTAAAACAAAAGTGACTTGTTACAAAATGAGAATTAGATGCTACAAAATGAAAGTTACAGTTACAAAACATGTTACAGGTTACAAAGCTTGGTACAAGTTACATATAATATTATCCCAATCCTAGTTCCATAAGTAAGCATGTAGCAACAGAGAGGAAAACTCCCTTAAACAGGAAGAAACCTCCACCTGAACTGGGCTCTGGATGAACAGCTATCTGCCATGAGCAACTGGGGGTTTGAGAAGACACCCTTTCTTCAGGCATCAGGTTGAGCAGCTTCAAAATCCAGGCTATAATGCTGAAAATCAGCTTTTTCACTGACACTATAGAGACACTGTGCAAAGACCTAGTTTGGAAGTCCTACAGACGTGGTCTGGACGGACAGACTCAACATAGACATGATCTGTGCGTCCATGCGACGCTGACTGTTTGCAGGGTCATGAGCTGCCCTTTTCACAATGCTGCTACATTGTAATAGTAGACACTTAATTAATGACTTTAGGTCACAATTTTAGTTTCCAATGTCTTTAACATGCTGCTGATCGAAAAAAAAACTGGTCTGAATCCAAAGATGCACCTATTCCTCTGAGCTATCCTCCATTTTTCAATATACTCCACAGGGCTCCCGGTACTTCAACGAGATGTTTGCAATTCATGCTGTTTTCAAATTGTGATCTGCAATGCATGCTTAAAAAAACTTGCATTAGATTTGTTCTGATGGGTTTTTTTTTCTACATGAAACTGTGTCACCGTTAGATTTTGTTGCATCTGCAGTGAACCAAGCCGACCACTGTGGCTACCCACTTTTTTGATGTAAGCTGAAAATCTTTCAAAGCCACATTTGAAGCCTGTGGGGGGAAAGTACTTGATACTTTTTAAACTTCAAACCATCTGACTGATTTGTGCAGTCTCCACTGATGCTCTGACGTAACGGTGGAGCCACTACTGGACTAAAAAAGTAGCTTTGCATCATTGGGAACATTTTATTAATGGTATGGTTTATAAAGCTGGAACAAAATCTATTTCTTGCAGAGGTTTTTCAATATTAAGACCTAGAATCCTATGTTTTTGTTTACTCCACATTCACCTGGGACAGCTTGCAGTAGATGTGATGCATTTCCAAGCTTTTTCCCAAAGAAAAGCTGGATGGAAACTCAGTAATTGAATGTAGAACACTTTCACATAACTCAACACAGAGAAGACCTTAATATTTCTCCCAAGATGCAAATGATTAATCTATGTGGTTTTGCTTACATTGCACTCTGCCACATCCATACCTGTGGTTGAGATGCTTCTTTTTTCTTATTGTGCAGAGGGAGGTGTGATGGAGGATAAGATGGGAGGAGGCATCTGCTGCACACACTTGTGTGAATGGAGACACACCTGATAACAGTGGGGAGCAGCAGTGAAGGAAATTGGAAGCGAGGAGTAGTTACAGGGCATAGAGCGGTTCAACACTAGAAATTACTGTTTCTGAGTGCAGAGGCTGTTTCCTGGATGACAAAACAAGCCCCACCCCCCCCCCACCCAATAGAACTGTTTTGTTGTGCAGCTTCACATTCTAATTCAGAGTGTAGCTGGGTCTTGTTTGTTGGTAGGAAGGAGAGTGCTCTTGCTAGCGTCGTAGGTGCAGCAGTAAGTCACATGAGAATGATGGAAGACAGGCATCAGTCTGTGAGAGGTGTTGTACAGAAGCTAGGGTTATTAGCACCGCGGGTAAAGCATTGTTAATCCTCACCTAGTAATTAAAGCTCAAAGGTGTGATGCAGTGCCACAAGTTCACCGCCTCAGTGTGGAAATGAGTTCACAAAACAGTCACTTCCTCTCACAACAGATCCATCAGACGTGCAACAGCTAATGTAATTATTGCTGCTGCAAATTAACACCTTGTGATAAGGTCGGCTACCTCTCTGCCAACTCTGAAAACTAGTTGGGAAACAGAGAGTTGTTGTTCCATCCCGTTTCCTTGAAATCAAAATGATAGTGTTTCTGGAGAGTGTTCAGATAATCACACCTAATTCTTTTGGTTTATTCTCAGCCTCGAAGGATCGCCCGCCGCCCATCATCCGACAGGGCCCGTCTAATCAAACCCAGGCACTTGGAGGTGTGTCTGTGCTCCGGTGTCAGGCGTCAGGAGATCCAGAACCCACAGTCACTTGGAGAAAGAATGGAGCAAATCTGCTGGGAAAAGATGCACGTTTTTCATTGCTGGAGCATGGCAGCCTTCAGATCCAGAATACCAAGGTAGCAAAGCACGCGCACACACACACACACACACACACACACACACTGAAGTTCCAGTTTTTGTATCAAACTGAGTCAATCACTGTAGTCAACCACTTTCACAGACATCCATCAGGCATTTTATTAACAGTTCTAAATTGTCATAACATTCCCTGGTGTTACGGACGTCAGTGGTGACAAATGACCAAGAAGTATCAGAATCTTTCTGACTCTGGGTAAAACTGTCTCCTAACAAGGACCTGGCTGAGGAATAAGGTGTTTAAACCAGCCTCCATCCAGTTGGTCAAGCCTGAAGTGGCAGGCATAATTAGAGAAAACAAGTTTCTCTCAAAATGTGTTCTGTCGGGCCTGTAACATGATGCACCAGATGGTTTGGTACACACAGAGCGATCTCTGGAGTCCTCTGTAGAAACCATCTGGAAAAAGACACTTTCAAAAAATGCTTAACATGTGATTAGATGAAGCATCTGGTGATCACTGTCTATCATAAGTGAACTTCTGCCTGTCAGTGCAACAGCAATGCTACAAAGCCAGTACTGTTGATGGTTGCAGTGGAAAAAAAACTGTAAACGCAGCAATTTGTGCCAATCTTTGTGTTTTTTGCTCCAACTTGACGTCTTAGAGGAAAAGCCAAAGAGTGTCTCATATGTCCAATCCAATTGCAAACAGGCCTTGAATAATATCTATTTAAAGAGCAAGTTCACTGAGAAAATATATTTTTGTTATTTTAGAAAATGATCAGTCATTCTGAAGTTTATCATGCAGGCTTAAACTGAAACTATGCTTCTACACCTATTTCCTGCCATTAGCTTTTGATAGAATATAGATATAAAACTCCCTGTAAAGCCTGACGTCACACTGTCACTTAAAGAGCAAGTCACCCCCAAATAAACTTTTTTTTGCTGATAAACTAAATAAACGAGTGTCTAATCGTGCTGCAGACACGTGTTGTCAATAATTTGGCACTTCAGTGCATCTTAGTTAAAATTTAAATATTCAGCCTAAAACTGTCAGTGTTGTGCCGTTGTCAGGTAAAAACTCTGCACTGTATTTTAATTTAAATCTGCCACCACTATTGGCTAAGAAGTATGCTATGATGTAAACTGGTACATTATGATGTCACAATGCTGTCGTGAGCCTGAATGTGTGTGTATTTGTTAGCGGCTCCGCCCCCTTGGTCTGCCAGGCAACAGCATGTGTTGCATTTTTCAAACATGAAGTGGGAGTGGAGTTAGACTCTGATAGGGGTTGACTTGCTCTTTAACATTCACGTACTCAACCATCTTGACTCATGACTTTATTTAAGTGCCCAGGAACCAGCAAAGAACATCTGGGCTAGTTAAAGCTATCCATTAGCATTAGCAACTCCACAACATGGCAGATCTCGTTATGCGTGTGCGTGTGTCATTTGTGGAGATAAAACATCAACATTACAGAGAAAGCAGAGTCAGTAGTAGTCGTGTTGTTTTTAGCCAATCCAATGTCTAAACATTAGGAAACTACTTTCTCCTCTAGCCGACTTCTACATCCTCAAACAGGCACACCAGAGGATTGTTTTTTTTCCTTCAGAGAATAACTTACAAGGTATTCATTCTCATAGACATTACTTCAAATGTATTTAAAATACGAGTAAAGCTGACATTTGAAACACATCTTCATGCTGTTTTCATTTAAACTCATTTCACTTTTTCTTTTTTGGTAAAAATTCTAAATTCCAACTCTGATACACGAAAGCAAAAATCCTGATTTTTTTCTCCTTTACTTGTGCATCAGATCTTGTTTTGCACACTAAAGAATAAAGGCGGATTTGTTCTTGTGTCGGGTGATGTCAGCCGAGTGTAATTCAAAAGGACAAGAGCAGTCAGTTTGCTTTTAAAAGATGAATAGCAGGTATTGATTTTTATAAGTCGTTAAACGTTGCTTTTTGGGCTGAATCTCTGAGGCGGCAGATAGACTCAAGGACTCGAGAACAGGAACCAGTGAGAGGGGCCTGAAGCAGAGGTGGTTTTTGTATAATGGAGCATCTGTGATACACAGTGTCTTGTCACAGTGTCAAAGTGCCCTTCTTATGTCACTCCTTTGCGTTCTCCTGAGAGATAACTTAGCTGTCGGTGGCTCTTAAAGCATCGCTAGCATAAAACACGTTGTCATATCTTCTATTTCCTGCATCAGCACTGGTGATGGTAATGCTGATGGCTCTGGGAATGGCGTATGACTGTTATTGGAGAAAATCAATTAAGAAAATTAATGTAAGCTTTTAATGGGATCTCTCTCTCTTCTTTTCGTTTCATTGCCTGACGTTAAAGCTTCCTCTCATCCACTCTGCAGCTTTCTTTGTGCCAAATGCCGGCCAGTGGAGGTTAATGCATTTTCACTGTAGTACTAGCTGTGAACCACCTTCAAACGCCGAGAATGACGCAAGAGCTTGTAGAAACCATCAGGGATCACGGATACAAAGACTGTCGCACTTAGACGAACACGGCAACGGAGCGCAACCTGAAAGCAGTGTTATGTGTGATACGGATCTTCAGGAAATATTTATATGGGAGCTTAATAGGCACAACATCGTTTAACTCTGGTTTTTATCGCTGATTTTATCTTTGCATTTTGGAATTAGTCTGTCACGTAGCATGTTAAACACAAGCTTAATGACAACACCGTGTTCTCCCTTCTTCAGCTGTCTGATTCGGGGTTGTACACCTGTGTAGCCACCAGCTCCAGTGGAGAAACATCTTGGAGTGCCTACCTGGATGTCAGAGGTGGAAATAATTCAAATAAACCACCAACAGTTAAACAGAATAATAAAAGCATAGCATTGCCTGATTTAGTTTGCTTGTGAGAGTTTAAATGTGTTTTCTCTTGGTTCCTCAGACTCTACTGACCTTGTGGACTTCATGTCTCACAACTCAAGCACCCTCCCGGGGCCACCCGCCAAGCCAGAGGTCACCGACGTTACCAAGAGCAGCATCTCGTTGTCATGGGAACAGGGGCCAGAGGGGGGCTCCCCAGTGTCCTCATATGTCATCGAAGCTTTTGGGTATGTCTGTGACCTATGGCCACAAGCAGCATTTAGTGACCCAAACTTTCCTGGCAGTAATAGACGTGCACGTCTCTGTGGAGAATTCAAGCAAGCCTGCGTGGTCTCAAGCAAAAAACTCACTGGAATTTATTTTGAAAAAGTAAAAAATGCTTGGCATTAGCATTTTAAAAGTGTTAATATTTAGAATTTCATTGACAGAAGTTTTTATTATTTGACCTTTTTTTTTTTAGATTTTGTAGCTCTGAAAGCTTTTCTTTTCTGATTTCTGAAAACAGAGGTTAATCAGTTATGAAAGTGTGTTTTTTTATGTCTGATCAGATTTTTTTATGTATTTTTGTAGTCAGTCAGTGAGTAACAGCTGGCAGACAGTTGCTGACCATGTGAAGACCACCGAGTATACGGTCAAGGATCTGCGACCCAACACGGTTTACTTGTTCATCCTAAGAGCAGTCAATGCTCAGGGCCTGGGTGATCCAAGCATGATGTCTGAGCCAGTTCGCACACAAGGTGTTGTAATTCATTCAAAATGCAAAAGATCAGTAGTGGAAATGATCTCTAATGTAAGCTTAATGGCAACTTCTTCTCCCTCAGACATTAGTCCCACAGTCCAAGGAGTAGATCATCGACGTGTGCAGAAGGAGCTGGGGGATGTTGTGGTCAACATGCACAACCCTGTGGTCCTTAGCTCCACCTCAGTGCAGGTCACATGGACGGTGAGTGCTCACAATGTTTATTTTCCTATAAACTAATCCCAAAAAAAATTGTATATATATACTAAATGGTTTCATTCTTGGCATAATGCAATGTTTTGGATTAGCTGACACAAACACACACACACACACACACACACACACACACACACACACACACACACACACACACACACACACACGATTAGCATAACAAGATGGAGTCATGGTTTGAACACCTGCTGTTGCATTTATTTAGATTGGTTTGAGTTTATGCAGGAATCAACACTGATGTTTTCTGTTCTGGACACATAAATCATCATTAGGTGTGTGTGCTACTAAAGGACACTTTTTGCAGTCAGAGCTTTTTCCAGGAATTCTGTTTTATTGTTTTGGCTAGGTACCTCTAGCATCTGCTGCTCTGGATCAGTAGTATAGCTAGGATTGGGTTGGATTTTTCCTCTTTCTTATAAAGCTTGAATCTGCAATAATTTAGCATTTAGTCCAACATGGGAAAACATGTTTGCAATAAATCTGAACTAATAAATTCACATTTCGTCTTTGTCTATTAGTAAATGACTTACTACCTGCTTGTGTCTTTGTTTAAACGGCATTTTGCTTTAAGATGTTGTCTTAAAAAGACAGAGAAACAGAATCTACTGATATAAAAGTGGGGTAAAAAAGCAAAATGACTAAATATATCCAACCTAACATGCGTGGACTGGTCCAGGAAGGAATGAAGGAAGGAAGGAAGGAAGGAAGGAAGGAAGGAAGAAAGAAAGAAAGAAAGAAAGAAAGAAAGAAAGAAAGAAAGAAAGAAAGAAAGAAAGAAAGAAAGAAAGAAAGAAAGAAAGAAGCCACTGCGGATAATTTCTAAAAGCTTTTTTCCTGTTTCTGCTCCTGTGAACAATTAATTTCTATAACTGAGTTTCCACAATCTTCCCATCAAAAGCCACAAATAAAAACTAAAGGAAGAAATGAGCATTTAGATTTGATATTTAGAGGCCAAACCAAACTGTGGTACTTAGGAACAGCACATGATGACAACAAAACTCCTCACCTTCTCTCTTACATGATGTTTTCTCTCCAGCTAATTGAATTGTGAGTCTAACTAAGCATGCTTTTTTGCTAATCAGGAACACAATGTTGATCCAAAGCAGTTTACTCACACAGATGTTCATCACCTCCCTCTTCGTCATCCTCATCCTCGTGCCTTCTCTCCTCCTTGCAGGTGGAGAACCCATCTCAGTTCATTCAAGGCTACCGTGTTCTGTACCGGCAGACTTCGGGGCTGCCGTCCCCGGGGCCCTGGCAGCTCCAGGATGTGAGGATTGCCTTGGAGAGAGACGTGACTCTCTCCGGTCTGAAAAAAGGCATCGTCTATGAGATTAAAGTACGGCCATATTTTAACGAGTTTCAGGGTGCAGACAGTGAATCCATGACAGCTCGCACCATGGAGGAAGGTAAGCACTATTTGGTCTTTGTAATAATAATCCCTTTTTTGTATTTATTTATGAAAATAATGTGGAGGAAAGTCATTAGTGCATTAGCAGATGTCCCTGTGTTGTATTTCCTCCTACTTTTATATTTAGTTGATACTAGAAAGGATTTCATGGCGTGATATAATGGATAATGGCATTTCAAGTACTCCCACCCCCCTCCACACACACACACGCACACACACACACTTGCTGCGGCACTGCAATATCCCCTGTGTGTGACTGAAAACAGGTCTCCTAGATGGCACAGTGGGGTTCTATGACAACTCCAGGCCTCTGAGGGATGGGAGGTAGAGACGGAGGGCAGAAATTGTCTCATGTGACTTCAGTTTGTTTCTCGTTCTCCACTGAGCTTTGCACCCCGTTGTCATTTTCTCGTTCAGACCTGCATTATCTGACGCCCCACCATGCTAACGTTTTAACCAATGAGCTTTATGTGTGGGAACACGGCTCAGTGTCCTCATGGTCTTCCTGTTGTGTGTGTGTCATTGATGCCAGCTACCAAGTCTTCTTGTTTGAGGATCTAATGTAATCTTTCATTAACAGCAAAAAGCAGTTACCATCATTATTGGACAAGGCAAGGCAGCTTTATGTATATAGCGCATTTAAGGCATTTCAGTGTGCTATCCAGGAGCAAGAACAGCAAAATTGTGACAGCATAACTAAAGTACACACATAAATTAGGATCAAATTAAATACACAAATCAAATTCAGATTTAGGAATTACATGAAAGACTAAATTAAAGGATGAGCAGCTACTGTGCATAAGGTGCAGCATAAGAAACATTTGTTCATAGGCTGATGAATACATGAACGTTTTCAATTTTGATTGAAAAGTTGCCAGAGTTTGGGCACATTTGAGGTCAAAAGGAAGTCCGTTCCATCTGTGGGCAGCAGCTAAAAGCAGCTTCACCCTGTTTGGCTCTGACCCGAGGTCCTACCAGCGGACTGTTTCCTAAGGACCTCAGAGCCCTGCTGGGCGTATATACCTGATGGAGATCTGACATGTATTCTAGCCCCATGCCATTAAGTGATTTTTAAACTAGCAGAAGCACTTTGAAATTGTTTCTGTAGTTTACTGGTAAACAGTGTAGAGATTTAAGAAAAGGAGTGATGTGCTCGGTTATCTTGGTTCTTGTTAAGACTCTAGCAGTGACATTCAGAACAAGCTGCAGTTGCTTCACAGCTATTTTAGGAAGACCTGTCAAAAGACCGTTGCAATAGTCCAGCCTGCAGGAGACGAACGCATGAATGAGTTTCTCCAGATCTTGTTTGGTAATGAGACCTCTAAGTCTTGTTATTTGATGATAAAACGCTGATCTAGTTATAGCCTTAATGTGACCAGTGAAGCTCAGGTCTGAATCAATTATGACACCAAGAATCCTAACCTGGGTGTTTTTCTTTATGCCTCTGGAGCCAAGTTGAGCAATAACCTCCATCCTATCTTTCTTATTTCCAAAGAGAGTAATTTCAGTCTTGTCTTTGTTTAACTAAAGGAAGTTTGATTGCATCTAGTCATTAACTTGTTTCAAGCACTTTCAGAGTGAGTCTAGGGGACCACAGTGACTAGTTCAATTCAATTCAATTTCATTTCAAGTTTATTTATATAGCGCCAAATCACAACAAGAGTCGTCTCAAGGCACTTCACTTTGTAAACATTCTAATACAGGTCAGTTCATTAAGCCAGTCAGTAAAAAGTTTCCTATATAAGGAACCCAGCAAATTGCATCTAGTCACTGACAAATGTCAGTGTCTTTACAGCAATCCTCATGCCAAGCAAGCATTTAGCGACAGTGGAAAAGAAAACTCCCTTTTAACAGGAACAAACCTCCAGAGGATCCTGGCTCAGTATAAGCAGCCATCCACCACGACCCACTGGGGATCGAGAAGACAGAGTAGACACACGCACACACTAACACCAACCCACCCGCACACAAACACACACACACATCCACACACACAACATACCAATTAATGTTTCTATGGTTACATTGTGATTTCTTAGTAAATATTCTAATTGGTGAGAGATAATCTTTATTGTATTTATCCTAGTGAATCACTAATTAAATGGGTAAACTAGTAGTAGCACATTCAATTTCAGAGAAAGTAATTTGTTATTATCAGGAGAGGAAGAATGTTTAAGTGGTTAGCAGCAGTGTTCAAGCCGAGTTGTTAGTTTTACTTTGGTTGTATTGTACAGGGACAGCACAAAGATAACGTTACATGTAAGCGCAATGCAGCCGTTGTTTTGGACAGAAGATTGCTAGCCTGAGGCTAATTTACAAACCAAGTCCTTGGTTGGACTTTTGGACTCAATCAAATAATAGCATTTATAATAATTATCACCACACGCGCGCACACACACACACACCCAATCAATGTAAATAAATTAGTTTAGCTGATAAGAAAAATCAGTGTTCACAAGTTTGTTTTTATTTCAGCCATTTATTTCACCTGGGAGTTAAAGTTGTAAAATGTGTTAACAGCTTTATTGCTGATGGTAGATTGTTCCAGATCTGAGGCCCTCTAAATGAGAACGACAATTGACCAAAAGATGTTTTGTATTTCTGAGGTTTGCAGTCTCCATTGGCTACTCCTCTGGGTGTAGCTCCTGTGCTGCTGGCTTTTACAATCAGTCGGCTCACCAGCTCTGGGACAAGGCCGTTTAGATATTTGAAAGTCAGTTTTATAACAGAGAAGTTTATAAAGTTATTGAAACTTAAGAGATTTTACTTCTCCTGTATTTTGCAGTGGTGCCACTCATTGGTTTTTGGTCCAGGACTTGGGCTTGTTTGTACAGACATGACAGGTTTTAAAGCAGACTGGGTAGCTTGGCTCCAAACATTTACACAGTAGAAGAAGTGGGAGGGAAAGATGGCATGAAAGTATAGCTGGGCAGCTTTTGCAGGTAAATATGGCCTTATTAGATGGAAGCAGTTGAGGTTGGTCCTAATGGTTCTGGACACTTTTCTGATGTGGGACTCAAATTTAAAATGCAAATCCAAAACAACACCCAGATATTTTAACTCATCCACTTGTTGAATTTCTTTCTGGTCAATGAAGACAGTGAAGTTATCAGAAATCTTGCGTTTGATCATTAAGCACATGGAGACAATGCTGCTATAGTACAGGGACAAAATGTTATCCTAGAACCAGCGAGACACTCACACCATCTGTTCATTCAGTAACTTTGCAGCCTGTTGGGGAATCTTTGCGGTTACATAGATTATGGGATCATCAGCATACATTTGACACTGGACACTTTTACACTGTTACACTAGAGTTAAGCCGATCTGGGTGTCATCTGTATAACTTCAATTGGCAATGCTGAAATTGTATATGACCTCACCCAGTGGGAGCATGTAGAGATTAAAGAGCAGTGATTCAAGAATCGAACCTTGGGGGACCCCACAAGTCATGGTGATCTGCTTTGATTTGTGATCCCCAACTTAAACAAGATAACTCCTGTCTGTGAGGTATGATTCAAACCAACTATGGACTGTGCCTGACAGTCCCACCCAGTTTATGAGCCGATCATAAAGGATGCTGTGGTCCACAGTATCAAAAGCTGCACTGAGATCGAGCAACATCAGGACATATGTGTTGCCGTGAGGGAGCCGTGTTTATTCTGGCAGAAAGTCCAACCAAAAGAGTGGCAGGCTGGTAAATTGAACAAAACCAAGAAACTTTTCTAAATAAAACACCTCGATTGATAAATGTGATTTTTGTGTTTCTAAACAGATTAGAGAGATGAAAATGAACACACACACACACACACACACACACCTGCAGAGAACCATAGCATTTCCATATTTTAAATGCAGTTTTCTGCCTCACGAGTCACTGAGGTGAATATCTAACCGATTTGATATTTTTCCCCTCACTGGGGGTAAAAATTCATCATGTGCGCACTATGAGAGCTGCTGGCTAAGCTGAAATATTCTAATGGCCAAGTGTGTTAGTATTAGTCTGGTATTTTAAAGTCACCAGCATTGATCTCTTCTCGTGCTGGCTAAGTATCAGTTCTAGTCGGACTCACGGCATTCGTAACACCCAAATCTAGGAAGAAGTTTTTACACAAACTACTATTTAAGTACCCCCCCCCCCCCAAAAAAAAAAGTTTATCACTGTTCCTTTGTGTGAGCATTGTTTCTTTTGAGGGGCTGACATAGGGTTCACTGTATTCACCCGACTAAAACTGTCTAGAAAATGACTATATGGGACAAAGTTGTGAGACAATCACTGATGTGGATAAAAAAGCATTTGCCCAGGTTATCTGTGTATGATGATGAAAGCATCACAGTTTGGTTTTCCTCCCAGTAAAAGAACAATGAGCTCAGGTAAGACAGAGGAATATCCACTGGTGAAGAAAGGGAAGCTAGCATCACTGGAGCCCAATTAAAATGACCACACTGGTGGTTTTCATCATCTTGGATGCATGCTGTATATACTCCTAAGAATGTGGCTTCATGGTGCTGAAACCATTGGCTTGATGTACCTGGATGCAAATATGTACAACACTGCAGAAGTAATAATATGAATAATAAGAGAATCTGTTACTCTTCAAAGATGTATTAAAAACAGGTTCTCCTTTTATGAAACCCAAATGAAGTGTGTCTCAGGCTAACAGATAAAAATGATCTCTCTCCTACTGTGCAAAAGGGAAAAATACATCAGGACTAATGATCTTTGCAGCTCTTCAGTGGTGAGAGGGAGAATCAGGAGGGTTTTCTCACTGTCAAGTTTGTTTGTAGAAAATGATTCCTAATTTACAACAACTTTCTTTTTTTACCTCAAATTATATGTTTCCCACTCCAGGATCATTATAGCAGGATATTAGACAACATGCATGCATTTTCTTTAATTACACAGCTGTGAGTGAATCTGAAATGTTCCCTGTAGCAGAGTAGCACATCAGTCTGAAGAACAAAACTGACTCTTTTGGCATTTGCTACTTTTATGAC